AAAAAAATTAGATGCTTATTCTTGAAGAAAGTGAAAAGAAATGTATTACAAAATGATTAATATCTAACAAAATAACGAAAAAAAAAATATTTTCTTGACTACTTAAAGAAAATTTATAGTTCTACAATGGATTCTAGGATGAAGAGAGGTCAAGTGAGTCTTATTAAACAACACATAGAATACCAACATCATAACAAAAATTGTGAATACTTTTTAACATTTCCCTATAGAACATAAAAAACTCTAAACAAGTACTTTTTTAAAACTTATTTACAAGTAGTAGATTTTTAATAGTAATCTCTTTCGTTTCGTATGTAAGACACTCCCAAAAAATTTTAATCATTTTAGCAGCAATCAGACATTATACTTTCTCTTCCTATAAAATTTCAAAAAAATTCAATGAACCTTGAGAATTGAATAAGAAAAAATATAAAACATAATTTTCAAAGTATAGAGAGAAATAAATCACATAACTTTTTCTTATGGTAAACTACTAGTTTCTGATATTATACTTCATCAACAACTAAAGACACCTATTGACAACTCTCAATACCATATATAGAAAAAAAGTACAACATGGACTAATGGAATTAAGAAGTTTGACAAGCATCGTCAAGTATGTCTCATTTCACACTACAGAACAATCATCTATTAGTCATAGGAAATTATTCGTTCTGACATAAGATAAATAAATGATTGTGCAAGTTAGAATGTATATGTACGAAAACTACCGTAAACAACGTAAAAAAACTAAAATATACATCATACAATTGAAAAAAAAAAGAAAACAAATTCAAACAATGAGTGAAGACGAAATTGACGATGATGAATGCTTTTATGATATGACAGAATTACCATCTATTTCACCTAAATCTTCAGAAAAAAATGAATTAGAAAATAAAATAAGTGAACCATCAACTCCTCTTGATGAACTTGATGAAAATTTTTATCAAATTGATGAAGATACTCAACATGAAACTATTCAACCATATATTGATGAACCATTAACACCATCTGATGAAATAAATCCAAATTTTCATTATACAATTTTAACTCAAAAACAATATGTTGAATTAATGATGAATTATGTTGATGAAGTTAAAGATATTCTTCAATTACCATTAACTATTATTAAACTTTTATTACATTATTTCAGATGGAATAAACAACGATTATTAGAACAATTCTATGAAATTGATCATAATGAATTTTTTCAACAAGCAAAAATTATTAATCCATTTAGTGAAAAAATCTCTATAAATGAATCAACTAACATATGTTCAATTTGTTGTTCAGATGAACAAAAAGAAATGTTTAATCTTGAATGTAAACATATATTTTGTAATGATTGTTGGAAAGATTATTTAATAAATCAAATAATTAATGAAGGTCATGCTCAAACGATTGTTTGTCCAGATTTTCAATGTGAAATTCTTGTCAATGATGAAACTATTACAAAATTTTTAGATGATAATGAATTTATCAAACATATTTATGCAAAAATTATATTAAATTCTTATATTGATAATAATCCTCGTGCTCGTTGGTGTCCAGGAAAAAATTGTGGTTATATTATTAATGCAACATCTCTTACATCAGCTTATAATTATGCTCAATTGATTATATGTGATCATTGTCAAACATCATTCTGTTTTCAATGTGCTCAACCATGGCATGATCCAATTAAATGTATTTTATTATTACATTGGAATAAAAAATTACTCGATGATAGTAATACAATTGTATGGTTAAAAGTTAATACAAAAATTTGTCCAAAATGTAAAGTAAATATTGAAAAGGATGGTGGTTGTAATCATATGACATGTAGAAATTGTCGGCATGAGTTTTGTTGGTTATGCTTTGGTAAGTACAATGAATCTTACAAAAGTAGAAGAAAAATTTTCTTAAAATATTTATAATGTCAGCAAATTGTATGAAGTAATCGAGTACAGACAAATAAATTTAGTTATGAAAAATATTCATAATTATGATGCTACTTATAAACATACTCTCACTAATGAGAAGTAACCGGGACTGTATATTCAATGATGAAGAGAATAACTAAATTGCAAAGGATTTCATGCATTTACGAGGAACTGTTTTCAAGTGATCAATCACTTTTCGATTCATACTCAGTGCATAAGGTAGACTCCAATGAGATATGAAAAATCTCAAAAAGATAAGTTCTCTTAGATTTTCTGTCCAGAGTTATAGGCCTTTTCCGGAGACCTTTAGCCTCTTTCATGATATATACCAACAAATCGAATGATGGTATTTCGGATTGAAATTTTGTCCATAGATAGGTCTATTTGTTAGTAGAATGCATTGAGAAATTCAGCTTAAAGAAATATTTCCTTCCCGAGATATTGAAGTCCCAAAAAATCATTGATATTCATGAAAGATACTAGAATTTTCTGTATTTTTTTGAACTTTCATATCTCGGGAACAAAATATTCTTTTGACCTGAAATTTTCAAGGCATTCTACTAACAAATAGAATTGTCTATGGGCAAAATCTCAGATAGAAATACCATCATTCGATTTGTCAGTGTATACCATGGCAGAGGCTAAAGCTTCCGCAAAAGGCTTATATTTTATTCTCGCTATATATTCGAATTTCGATGATGGTAAATCTAATATTATCTGAGTTTCTTTTTTATTAAGGTAAATGGTCTACACATTCAAAATGTAATAGTTACAATGGAAATCAAATTACTGATGAAATGCAAAATCAATATGCTCTTATTTTATCTCGATATATGCATTATTATGATCGTTTTCATAATCATGAACATTCATTTGATTTAGAATCGAAATTATTCGAAAAAATTCGTCCAAAATTAATTCGAAATGAACAACAATTATCAAAGTATAATATTCAAATTATTGAAAAAGCATTTAATATTTTATTAAATTGTCGTCGAACATTAATATATACTTATCCATTTGCATATTATTTAGAAAAAAATAATCAATCAATTGTTTTTGAAGAAAATCAAGCTGATTTAGAAAGAATATGTGAAGAACTTAGTGAACTTTTAGAACAAGACATAACTAAAGAAATTGTACTCGATAAAATTAAAAGAAAAATATACGAAAAATATCAATATTGTGATACTCGAAGAAAAGTTTTGTTAAAACATGTTAAAGAAGGATATATCAATGATTATTGGCAGTATCATGACGAAGTGAAAACGATTGCTAGTAATAAAGTATAACCAGTTGTTATTTTTTTTTAAATAAATAAAATTTTCTATTAATTAGCTAGCGATAACAATAATATAAACTTTAGGAGATTTTAATATCTCTAATGTCTATTTAATCGATAGCATACATATTCATATAGAATTGCAAATAACTACTAAAACAAAATTACATCATATACCATCGGAAAAGACAATTATTCTTGTTTAATACGTAATTAAAATGAGTGACAAACTAATATTGATTCATTTTTTACGCAGCTATATATATATACATTGAAGAGTAGCGCCTATCGGTTTAGTCTCAGCCATAGATCTGGATCTGAAAATTTTAGACCTGATGGACTCTATTAAACAATTAGATCAAAATGAAAATACAGCAATAACCTAGTGTTTATGATAGTTAAAGACAAAGAAACGAAGCACACAGTTATCTTATATCCATACAATCCTACAAAGATATCAATAATATCTACTTCATTTGATTGTAAATAGTAGACTACTTAAAGAAGGTAATTAAATTCATTCAAATGTAAAATAATTTCATAATTTGCATGGAAATTAAGTCGTCTGTTATATAGTTATTCTGAAAATGTCAAATTTCATCTCACTACATTTAAGATATCCTCATAATTTGATGTTAACGTTCGAAACGTTGGTTATACAAACTTTTTCATTCTTCGACCAAAAATTAAATATTTTTAATTTCAAATAAAAAAATATGTGTATATACTAAGTATGTTGCTACAATAAAAACAGACAGCAATCATATGTGATATAGATTCAATTTTTCAGTGCAAACAATAAACTCATTTAGTCTCTGAATAGTTCAACAGAAGAAGCTTCTTTCGATTGAACTTAATCTTCTCAAAAACAAAACATCTGAAAAATCTGAATATGAATAAGTTTGAGATTGCTTTAAGCGTACTTCAAATGAATAGATGCAGTTTTTATTGCACAAAAAGATTTATTCAAAATAAATTAGAGAAAACGTAAAATTTTATTTTATCATTACAGTCAGTTCATCAATCAGAATTGTAACGTAGGATTTGATTGATGAAAAAATTATACTAAACTGGTCGTTCTTGAGCATACTATTGTTTCAAACAATGTTGTAAATTTTGTATCTCATCTTGGGGTAAAGTATTATGATTGGTGAAGGAATTCACTTTTCCTAAATTTTAATAAATAACATTTCACATAGCTTCATCTTTTCGCAAAGAAAGTTAATATTATTTTTCTAGTCAGAATTGCAATATAAAAGGTATCAAACTTATTCCATATATTCAAAAATGTAACAGGTAAGCAAATAAAGTGCTCATCAATGATGACTCAATCAATCGATTGATCGATCCATCTCTGTATAAATTACCATTTGTATGAAATTTCATCAAAGTTATGAGTAAGATCAATGTCAAACTCATTTTTTGCTTCTTATTATTGACATTAACATCGAAGTAAAAAAAAAACATATTTTTTCTCGATGAAAACAAAAACCAATGAATCAATAAGTGTAATTCGCTTCGTCATGTCAGTAACACGTATGATGATATGAGTCATTGCTTTTGAAAAGAAGCGATAAAGAAGATTGCAACAACAACCGATAAACATTTAACAAAAGCATAACACATTCTTGATAGCAACAAGGGAAAAAAACACAACGTGTATAAACATCGAAAAAAAAGCCACATTATATCCAACTTTTACAAATTACTGTTCGTTATTAAAAATTTCTTTTATAGCTCAAAGTCATTCATATAGTTCAAACGAAATTTAAAACAACAATTATCAATAATCAATGGCTACTACTAATGACGAAGATCTTGAAGAATATTCAACACCAACATATGAAAATGAAAAATTAGAGATACTTATTCGAAAAATGCGTTTATGCAAATCAGCAACATTTTATGTCAATACTATATCTAATGATGATATAAAATTAATTGCAGATGAATTGAAAACAAATAAAATTTGGAATTCTCTTCGAATAATTGGTCAAAATCTTGTTAATGAAGACGGTTTTCAATATTTATTCGATGCATTAGCAACAAATACAGCAGTAAAAGCTCTTCATCTATGTGGTAATTCATTAGGAGATAGAGGTGTTATGCTTTTCATGAATTCACTTGCATATAATACTACCATAGTTGATGTAAACTTGACAGACAATCACATAACAGAAATTGGTGCTCAAGCAATCAGTAAAATGCTTCGAATCAATTCAACAATCATCAATTTACAATTACATGCTAATCCATTATCGGATATTGGTATAACATTAATTACTCAAGCTCTTCAATATAATCGAACTTTAACAACATTAAAAATCGGAAGAATTTCTATGACAAATGTAGGTGCAGAAGAATTAGCTTCGCTGCTTCGATTAAATACAACATTGAAAATGCTCTCTCTTGATTATAATAAAATTGGTGATGCAGGAATACAAGCTTTATGTATGGCTTTAAAAGAGAATCAAGTATTACAATGTATCGATATTCGACAGAATCAAATTTCAGATCAAAGTATTGACAATATCATTGCTATGATACAAAATAATCGAACATTGACTAGATTGGATCTAGCACGTAATCAATTCAGTGATCAAGGAAAAGAAATAATACGGCAAGTAAACGCGAATAATAATACGATTAAAACTTTAATACTATGAATTAAAAATATTTTTATATTTCATTTTGTTTTTATTTTCATATGCACTTTTATCGATACAATATGTGCGATTCTCATGAAAGAGAATATTGTTTTTTTCAATTTTCTGAATATGATTCATTATGTTAAGTCTAAAAATAAAAGCTCTAGTTACATAGATCTATAACAACTCTCTCAAATACTTGTAGAAAATATCTGACATCGATTTATCGTTTGTTGAATGAAAAAAGGTATGAATCAATGTTGTCTATATCATATATCGAATTCATATCTGTCAGTACAATAAATAGTAGCTCTCAATTAGTTAGAATCTCATCAAAGAATTATCCGGTATTCTTTTTATAATGTTATTTTTTTTAGGCTACTATTCCTGAAAATTGATGTAGTATGATCGATTTGGCAAAAGATGCTAAGAACTGAAAAAGAAAAGATGTTTTTGTAAACACGTTTAAACCATTGAAGTTTGATTCATTAATCATCCTATTTTTAAGATTTAAATTTTTCTTGCAATACACAGACTGTTATGAATTCTTTCGAATTAAAATTAACTTTACTAGAAGTCGTGTTTTTCTTGTGAAGAAATAGATTTCGTGTTAAAACACGATATTCAAAATATCACATTATACCGTAGATATTTGCCTAGTTGTGAAATGCTTAGTCAAACTATTTATTCACATGATGACTATTCATGAGTAAAGTATATATTTTATATTTATTGATATACATTCTGAAAAAAGGCGTTTCAGTAAATGCTACATTGATACTCATTATTGATCATTCATTGAGTATGAACAATTGAATTCGTTTATTTTTCTTATCAACTATATATTATGTGTTTACTAGTTTGCAAATAAAAATACCGATAGATTCATTCAATTGATTGTAAGATTTCATCAAGTTTATTAGTATTGAATACCATAATTTCTATTCTAATCGATTGAACACAATGACTTACTTTTATCGAACGAATAGACGATAAATAATGTATGATGATAACTTCAAGAAAACAAAAAATAAGTCGATAATTTTATTACATTCACTTCAATACCCTACAAGGATATGTGTAATAAAAATCTATATATCAATAAGAATTATTTAGATGAATACAATTAGATAAAAATTGTAGTATAAACATTTATTACATAATCAAAAAGATATCAACTAAATAAAAAATTTTTTTTCGATACAAATATGTTAAGACTTTCGTCAAATCTCATCCGGACTATTTTTGATAAAGAAAATCACTTATTAATTGATCATTTTTAATTAACTTCAGAAAATAGATTGAGTATTGATAATGATCTTTGTTTTTTTTTGCTAAAGATACTTGAGATTTTATATTATAGTTAGTTGCTTGATCAACGAAAAATGGTAACATATCATAGTGAACTTTCGATTGAAAAATTTGATATCCATCATAGAACGACGTGTACTTGTGATAACTTCGATCGAATGACAAATCAGAAGTTTTTTCTTATGAAACAATTACACAAAAAAAGTTGAGTAAACCGATTTGAATAATGTATTGATTTTTTCCAGTAGTATTATTTCTTCATCAATCGCGATTTTTTTTTTCTTTCTATGTTGTTGTTTACAAATAAATTTTCATATAACATTCTTGACATAAAAGTAAATGTTGACCTACTCAGAGATAGAGAATCCATCCATAAATGTTTTGTATAGCACGATGTCTTTGAAATTAACAAAAATATGAAACAATAACTAATATCTTTTAACAATGTGAGTTTATAATGAGCTGAATTTATGTTTCAAATAAGTAAAGTTATGAGAAGAATAAGATGATATTTTCAAATGCAAACAGTCGCATTTAAAAAACAAACTTATTCAATCAATACATTGTTTGTCTGTACATAAGCAAAAAAATAACTTTCGATAGGTTCAATAATCGAAAAAAGTAGTAGTCAGAAATATATTGATATTATTTTTCTTAATGATCGATCAAAGTTGATTAAAAATTATACAAAAACTTCTCTAGTTCTGATGAACAAGATACCGTTAAGCGGTAAGTTGTATCTATTGATGATTGTTCAGATATTGATCGATCTAAAAATTGGTTAACTTTCAATAATTTTCTTCTCTTAGTTCGTCAAATTTAATTTGATTCTCTTCTCAACCTTTTTTATTAGATGTATATGTAATTTGAAATTTTTGCTTCCGAAATAAATGCTTGGAATCATTAAAAAAAACTCAGATATGTGTCTCATTACTCAATCGTATGTACTCTTTACTTTTCTTAGTTCATCAATATGACTTTCGTATTATTCTTAATATAGAATTTAAAAAGATAAATTCTTTTTCAAACTAAAAATGATTGAAAGATCTTATTTTTTTTATATTCCTTTCGTGGCAAGGTTATTTTTGGCAAAAAATTTGTTCATATTTAATAGAAAACTAGTCTTTATTACAGGCTGTAAAAAGCTCGTACAGCTGGAAATCAAAAGGATCGTTTTTGTTGTTGAAAATCCTAGCAATCACAGGATTCCATCGTTTATAATATAACTTTTATTAGAAGTGTTTAACTGAAGGACAGGTCTCAAAACAGGACGCTACGCATAAGTCAACATTGCATTCCCTATACTCGTAGCTCGGTGCTGTTTTCTACTTTGGACCACAGGTCGTGTAGCAGCAGACAAATCAACGTCTTCGGCGTCGACAAAGCTTTCCGCTTTTTACGGAAAGTGTCGTGCCAACATGCGCACAAGGTTTTTTAGACAGAGAATGGACAGGCATGGAAAGTTTTACATTAAACGTACGTCTTTGCTGCATAACTTCCATCCCTCAAGTCTGTCTCTCATTATAATAGACAGAATCTATTAAGTACTAGCATCAAATTGCCGTTTTGAGTACACTTTGACACTTGTATCAGAGGAAAAAAGTCACCGTTCCATATATGGAACACTCGTCGCGAAAAGATTAACTTATCTATTCATTTGCTTATGAAAAATCAAACAACTATTCCAATCCACGTGGCTTGTGGTTTGTTTAAAACAATTTTTTTCAATATGATTTTATGGATGAATGATACTATCTGTTCTTATACAGGAAATAGTACTAGTAGTACAACATGGATGGAAGCACTCTTGCAAACGTTATTAAACAATGCTAATAATATGGCAATTGATGTGTGTGACTGATCGATGTTAACTGGTAATGAAAAGCTTAGGTATTAGAATCTATGATAGTGGCAGTAATTGATATTAGAAATTTTAGCTTGAAGAATTCGTCGTTTTTTTATGCATTGATTACAGAACACTGTGCGATTTATTTCTCCAATATGCTATCGCATCGAACCATTCGAATAGATACAAATATTGATTGTGAATACTAAATGATGCCAAATTATTGATCTCCACTAACATAAAATGGATGATGAAGAGTGAACTTGTAAACAAAGGCTCTTTTTGAATCTATACACCCCTATCAAATGTTGCTTAAAATGTTTCGTTTATGTGATCTAAGTCCAACATCTTGGTTCTCTGATGATATATAGACATTTCTAGTAAATTTTAGGATTCAATTGATTATTTCACAATTATGAGTCCAAAAGAGTTTGTTCACATATCATTCAATAGACAAGATAAATGACTTCAAACAACGTTATTTTGAATCCCTTTATAGCAATATTCAGTTCAGTAGGTATAGAATATATTCGAAAAACAAACTTTTCTGAGAGTGTGAATGCCCATTTATGGAAATTGAAGGCATAGTCTGTAACATATTCATTGAAAACATATTTAATGTACTTTTTTCAACGCATAATTCTGTCACACTTTTAGTGGTATAGATATGATAAACTTCATCTAACGAGAACTCGATGTCATTGCACAACAGATCTATTATGTTACTCTTCAATACTTCATCATTTTTTTAGAAGTTATTTTCATAAGACAAGAAAAAAGATAACAGATAATAAATAGAACCAACCAAAGACGACTATGTTTCATGGAGAAAAAAGAAGCTTTTTGAAATTAGGAACATTGCACAACTGTGTTGCAAGGTGAGATAAGGAATTATCAATCTTATTATAGCTTTCATGGTGAATATAAATATATACAAGAGTAACACCAACATTTAATTCATATTTTCAACCATTTCATCTTTTGTTTGACGATATATAGCAATATTTTCATAAGTATTCAATCATGAAATTATTTCTTGTCGCTCTCGTTTGTTTTATTGGTAAGTTTTAAACATAAAATATACATTGAACAATTATTCAACGATATTATTCTTATAGGCATCTGCTCTACTCAAGCCTATCAATGTTATCGGTGTGATAGTGCTAGTAAGCCGGGTTGTAATGATCCTTTTAATAGCGCACAAGCTGAAGCACAATGGAAAGTCGAGGCAAAGGCTAATGAACGATGTAAAGTACGTATTGTCATACATTTTTATCAAGATTGATGATATTTTTTTTAAAGAAAGTCAAAGTCTTTGGTGGTCTCGTTAGTCGAGACGTCGTTGACACCACGGAATGCGAAGCGGGTGAAAACAAATGTTTGACAGTGGATGTGCCACTTCTCGGAAAGAGCACAACATGTTGCTGTAGCTCAGATTTATGCAATGGTGTATCATCTGTTCGACAACAACCTTTCGTTATTTTTGGTATCATAAGTATACTTATCATGTTCATCTATCGCAGTTTTTAGAAAGACAAATATTAAGTTTTGATTAAAATATTTTTTGTATGATTTTTTTTTTAATTAATAATAAAACTAATCATCTAGTTCTACAAAAATAAAATTTCATCTTCTTGTTTCGAGTTGATCGTCTATGTTACAATCTGAAGAAATAGAGAAATTATCTTATGACGGTGAATATTATTAATGATATTGTTTAAAAAAAAATGACACAAGATGATGATGACACAGGAAAAGACAGCGAAAAACATATTGATGTAGCGTACATGTCATTTCAACAGAAAGTATATATTAACAAAAGAAGATAGCAGAAGTAATGAGTAATAACGACAAATTTAGTACACAATTATTATCAATAAAAAACACATATCTAGCAGTAAACGTTGTATCATTACATATTCTTCGTTATTCTTTTTTCATTTCTACTTTAATATGAAATAAATGTAATGACTCTTTAATAAAATTCATTTGTTAAATTTGAATTAGTCGAAACTCCATTCGCGAACCGATTGACAATTTATTCTAAAAGTATATTCTACAGCTACTCATATCAATGATCTTACAAGATTGCATCGAAATTTATACTGTTTATTGCATTGTAATCTTGTAATTTCTAAATGTTGTATTATCAATGAGAAATATCATAATTAACTCATTTATTCATAATAAAAGAGAAAACATTTTCGTTGATTTTTGATAATTGCAATTAATCTAGTTTTTTTTTTGTACTATAACTATAACATGTATATTTTGTTATATTTATTCTTCTAATCTTGCTATCTACAATCTTCAAACACAAATATGCTGAAAAGACACAAACGCCATTTTTTTTACGACCTAAAAAATAGTTAGATAAGGATGTGCTTTTTGAAGCAAGTGAAAACGAATGATTGAATAGTTTATTTAGAAAGAAAAAGGTTACAACAAGAGAAAACAGAAATCTATTACGATCTTCTTCTTTGTTAGAGAGACAAAGATCATGAAAATATCCTCAAATTAACAGAAAAAAGAAGACGAATACAAGAAAAATGTCCTTAAATTTACGGAAAAGAAAAGATAAGACAAAGTATTGTCGAAAGACGAAATTGACAAACATATAGAAAAGAAAAGTTGACGTCACATATCTATGTGTATATATCGATTGAGGAATAATGGTTTATTATATAACAAGAATAGTTAGTATTTATTGCAATTTCTTACATATAACAACAAAAAGAAAAAGATAATCTTGAAGTTTGCCAATGTAATAAGAATTATAAAAATTGTATTTGCATGTATGATAAGCAGCATAGTATATCTTCACTACAATAGTATGGTATAAATGAACTTTGTAAATATTTTTTTTGAACAACAATAATTTATTTCTATTGCCCTACATAATCCTTACGTATTTGTTTGACGATAAGTAACAGCAAGAAATCTTACTACTTTGATCTAATAATACAATACGTAGATATATAGGATGATATTTTTAAATGAGAAGATGGTAACATGGTATGCAATTACAAGAGAGGAATGAGTCCAGTGCTGTATATAATTATTTTTTACGAAAGAACTGCCTAAAGTCATTCATCTCTTTTGAGTTCATATTTTGGGCATATAGAGACAACGTCTAGACTAAAAAAAATCTCAAAGTAGTTCAAGCTCATAGGTTTTATTTACAGAATTATAAGTTTCACTGTTTTTTTTTACCATGGAATAGAGTTTTGCCAGGAAAATTCAAACAAATGATTTTTGATCTGAAATATTGTCTATATGTAGGTCGTATCATTCTCTAATAATATCCTAGAAAGTTTTAATCAAAACGATGACTTTCTATTTTCAAATATTCAATATTGAACAACAACTCACGACATTTCTGGTCGTCTATGAAGTCTGGTCAACTTTTGAACATTGAATATCTCAAGAAGAAATTAGGATTTCGAGTTTATGCAATGATATATTATCTATTCCACAACAACCCTTCGTTGTTTTTGGTAGTATTAGTACACTCATCATACTTGTTTATCGCTAGTTGTCCACTAAAAAAAAGTTTGTTAGCGCAGCTCCTCTGGAGCTGAAATGTGGAACTTACGTATACATGTATCCTTAAACCTTAATATTCTAATGCATCATATGTAAACTGAAAAACTTCGTGTACATTGTAGTTATTTTCACTGATAATCAATGGCAAGAGCAAGACTTTGTTATTTATGTCTACATTTAAAACAGAAATTTTTTTTTTGTTTGAGAGCGCTCTATTTTTATTTTGCATTGCTGCTATTCGCTCATTATCTTTCATCTTTTTTTAAATTTTAAATCGTTTTTCGTAACTCAACATTCTTATTATTATAATCATTGAATTAATTGGTAAATAAATCTGTTTTTTATATATCCATGATATCTACAGAAGATCTTACGCACTATTATATATATTAATCAGCTCACAAACAATGATATTGATTATCTTTCAAAATTATAACTTGATCAATTTTTCAAAAAAAAACTAGAAAGTCTGATGTCTGTTAGTCTTAATTGCTAAGGTCTGTAAAGGGGCCTCACGTTACTATGTGTCTGTAATGGAGAGGAGGGGAATGGGGGAAGCCGTGAAAACCTAAACTTAAAACTTACACTCACTATTTTCTTCGAAAATATATGAGTTCCATAAAAGTTATTATATCCATCAAATGGAAAATGAAGAACAGCTATTGAATAGAGTTCTGTGATATACAAAAGAAAATCTTCGATTGTCACTCAGGAAATTCATTTACAACTTATTCTGATCTTGATGTACTATTGCTTAAGTCATTCATACATCTTCAAATGACGATTTCATTTTTTTGTTTTAAATTTCAAATATCAATAACTCTTTTACTGGCACGGCAATAGAGAGATGTATTTGCTTTGAAGAAAAGACTATTGAGTCAGTGAGTTTATAAAAAAGAAGATTATTAATGAACCTAAAACCAGTTAACCGTAACGTTGAGAATGGGATTAGTAAAACCAAGTATGGACAGACTGTTTCATTACCCCTACTATAGTGTCTCTTATATTGTGATCAACAATGATGAACTCGATGACTAGCGTTACTAGTATCCTCCCTATACGATGTTCACTACGTTACTCTTTTCCTTCAGCTGTATTCTTCTATAGTTGTCCTCAAAGAACACTCGGCCAAACAAGAAACGAAAAGATATAGATCATACTCGAAGCAACGGACAATAGTTCATACAGAATAGAAGAGATAAAATACATAGGAGAAAGACAGTGATGATCATTTATCGTTACAATGAGACCTATTTTGTATACACGAAGAGCCGCAGATAGCACTACAATAAAAAATTGAAATATCTTTGCTTCGATTCGTTCAAATGAATTGATTTTTTGCTTAGTATCATAGGAAACTTCATCTATTGTCAAGTAAGAAAAATACTTATAAAGTGTTTCACAGATAATTTTCAGTTGTTATCTAAGAGAATTATAATTAGAAGTCAAAATGAATTTTATAAATGATAGTATATTGATGTACGTAGAGCAAATTTTCAGAATTAGGTTGTTTAAAATTCAATAATTACAAAATTTTGAATTTTCAAACATAGAACATTGGACATTTGCAAAGAAGTTGATGTTCAAAGAACTTCAATAGGACGTTTTACTTATAGGATACGAATTTTAACATTTAAACTGACTACTAATTTTGAGAACTTGCTTTGTATGCATTAATATAGTTCATTTTAATTTCTTATTATTATTCTCTTAGATAACAACTAAAAATGATCTATGGAAGGCTTCATATGTATTTTTTTATTTGACAATAGATGAAATTTCTTTAACAAGACCAAAATTATTACTTGATAGTAGTATTTATTTATGTTATCCATATGAAAAAAACTATCAAATAAGTTGCTACCACTAACCAAAAAAATCAGTTCATTCGAACGAATTAAAGTGAAGATTTTTCAATTTTTTATCATAGTGTTACTTATACCTCACTCGTCTGTAAATATCTTTTTAAATTCTTTAGTTAAACAGATCTAATCTTTAAATAAATCTCTTAGTGCTTATCTATTTTATATCAATCACTATATTTGTTTGTATATTAATACGATAAGTATACGATTGAAGAACGTCTTTTATTGAATGTATTATTGTATTTTCAAAAGCGACATTTCATTTGTATTTCATTGACTTTTGTTGTTTTTAGTTTAAATTTTGCTATAGTTCAATCATATACTGTTAATGAATTTGTCATACAAATTATCATCATTAGTTATTCACACTACTACTTTTTGAAGTTTGAATTTCGTTTTATTTTTACTGAATAACTTTCTCAAGTAATTACAATCTATGAGTTTGTAAGTGAATATATAACCATGAATTTATGTTCAAAATGACATTTGAGTCGTAGAAATTCATTTTGATAACCGTGTAAATATTTGTTGTAAATTGATGTATGAATATTCATCAAGTATGTTGTATATTAAAAAACATTCAGGTGTGATAAATATGCAGATGAATGAAAAGAAATTTATAATTTATAATTTATTTTTATTTTTAATTATCTAACGTCAATGCGTAGTAAATGTTCGAGGTCGTATTCTGTCTGATTCAACTATTGATATATTATTATCGATATAAGAGACACTTTCATATATCGAATATATGATTCAAGTATGACGTATATGCATCTTTAGTCATTGTTATTAGTAACAACAAACGTTGTTCGAATTTATTCCTCTATTCCTTTTTGAGTATTCTATTCTCTTATTTATCTTTTCACTGACGCCAGCAAATGCCGATCTTCTATATTTTCTTTTTCTCCTTCCATTAAATTTCTGAGTCATCCAGTGCATAATACTTTTTCTCGTGTTTTTTTTTCTGTTCTTTCTATCAAAACGGGGGAAGGTCTAATGACGTAGATAAATTTGTATAACAGTCGTTGTTAGCTCATTTCTTTTTCTTCTATGCGCATAGTTAACTTGTGTTTTTTTTTGTGAAGTATACATAAAGATTATAGTATTACTAAACTTTTCATTTCAAATAGAAAAAAAAATATTCTCAAGCATTTTCATACAGACAAATGGCAGCAGCAGCACCACCGCTGGCTAGTGGTAGTTTAGCAGATGTAGTAGGTCAATTTAATGGTGGTTATTACAAAATAGATCATCGTGATACAAATGCACTTCTTTCGGTGACATTACAACCAAATATTCCATTTTATGCACAGCCAGGAGCTATGGTTGCTATGAGTCCAGAAGTGACACTCAAAGGAAAATTTAAATTTTCATTTAAAAAAATGTTAACTGGTGGTGAAATGGCTCAATCAACATATACTGGTCCTGGAGAAGTGTTACTTGCACCACCTGTCTGGTAAGATTTTCATTAGCTTTTAATTGATACTAGTATCTTATATTTTAATTTTATAATAAATCGAAGTTGACGTATTTTTAGTCATGAAAAACAAAAACCCTTGGTAAAAATATTTCAATATCATATTTGACTTTTATAATAAGATAAAGATAAGATCTATTTTTTTATTTTTTATTTTATAGGGGTGATATCGTTCCTATACAATTAGATGGTCAAAGTCAATGGAGTGTAGGCAAAGGTGGGTTTTTAGCTATGACTCATGGTGTTGTAAAAGAAACAAAATCTCAAGGATTTGGTAAAGCAATGTTTTCTGGTGAAGGTCTTTTTGTTCATCGTGTATCAGGTAATGGAATTATTTTTGTTACATCTCTTGGCGCTATTGTACAACGTCAGTTACGACAAGGTGAACAATGGATTGTTGATAATGGACATTTAGTTGCATGGAATTGTCCATATGCAATTGAAAGAACTGGTGGTGGTCTTATGAGTGGAATGCATGCTGGTGAAGGACTTGTTTGTCGATTTACTGGTCCTGGAACAGTTTATATACAAGTAAATATAAGAAATAAAAATATTTTTATTCAATAGAAAAATTATGTATATATATATATATAAATTTAGACACGAAATCCAGAAGCCTTGTCGGAATGGATCTCAAGTCATGTAACAACATCAAGTGGTTAATTTTC